GACACCAGATGCACGAACAGCCTGGTGCTGTAGGTCTGGCTGCATTCAACAGAAGCCGTCAGATTCACGAATAGCACGGTTTATTTACACGCAACATACAGATTCTTTGTGATTGCTGGTGATAAATACACTAAGCTGCAGAATAGCTATAGAGCTCTAAAAATGCAATTGCAATTACAATAGTAATAATCTCCTGGGGAAAATCACTCGGCAGGGCTGAGGCCACAAATCTTACCCAAAGGCGTCCCTGCTGGGGAGGGGCGAGGAGAACAAACCCGTCGGTCAGTCCCTACGACTTGGTGACTTGGTGCCGAATTCTCATTCCACAAACTGGGTCCAAAAGGGATGACATTTATACTTTTTTTCTGTTACTGATGTGTAAAGTGTGGGGATGGGGCTGTGGGCAGACAATTGTTCCATGTAATCAGCATGAAACTCCCTTATCTCCACCTGCATCTGCATATGCAGGGAGTAGACAACTGCCATTGTGAGATAGGTGAGGAAATGGGGTAAGCAGCCTCGGCTGCATTCGGTGTCTAGTACACAGACCACCAAATCTTCACCCAGCCCCTGTGACTGCCCTGGCACCAGGTCTTTGTTTGCAGTGTCTGGTTTTTGTGATTTGGGCTGGTTTCATGCTTCCAGCGTCTGACAACAGTACGTATGCCGAAGTTCTTTAGACAGCACTTCCTCAAGTTCTTCTGGCTTCCAAGTGTATCTGATACTGCTGAGGGTTTTATAGTACAGCTGTTTTAAAGCTGATTAAAAGTCCTAAAGAAGTTTGACTTCCTTATTAGGACTTTTCTAAGATTACTGTCAAAAGTCAATACGCTATTGAAGTACCTTCTTTAATATTTCAATCATATTCTTTGACCTACCTTTTAATTTTATACTATGGACTGAACATAGTAGGCAGTACTTTTACAAATGGGAGAAGCCCTCTTGCCTCCACAAGTGACTGCAAAGTCATCCCACTCATCCAAATCACCCCAATTGATGTCAGTCTTGGTGGTGTCCTCTAAGCAGTCTGACACCAGACAGAAAGATTCTGGTCCCAAAGGGAAACCTTGCTAACTTTCAGTGCCTGTACATGTTTCTAAATCATAAATCTGTATAGCCTGGTGCTATAACATCATATAAAGTTGCGTCATGAAGTTAGTGTGTTAAGCATTGTAGGAATTTTGTTTTCAGAAATTTTACTGGAAGAGCAGTATACCTGGAATCTGTTTTCATCCAAGCTCTTGGTTGCAGCTCCCAGAACACAGCTAACAGCAACATGCTGGGGTGCAAGGAGCCTCCAAGCTCTCCTATAGATGGTGTGGGACTGCTTGAGACTGTACAGTAACAATAATGATGTTCCACAGGGAGATAGTTGCTAGAGCAGTTGTTCTTGACACTTGTGAGTCCTCAACCTCAATAGCACTAGTCAGGTTATTGCCATGCAGGTCTTAGGCTGCAGGGAGTGCCTGGTGCCTCCTCCTGGGGCTGGAGCTGATGATGGCCTCACCTATGAGAGATGTATTCTCCCTGAGGTACTCAGATGAAGGAGCTGCAGGAGAACATGAGCAGACTGTGTGTCATCAAGGATAGCAAACACAAGATTGAGAGGGTCTTCATTGATACCATTCAGAGGTGAGAGCTCAGACCCCACGTGCAAGGAAGGAGGGTCAGTTAGAGACTGGGCTCAAGGATTAGAGGATAAGGGTAACGATTCTTACAATGGGGGAGGCTGCAAACTTATGACTTAGCAACACAAGTGAGAGCTAGAGAACAGATTTAGTGCCTTGGAAATGGGTGAGCAAGAACAAGCTCAGTCTGAGGGCGCGTCAGGATAATCTGAGCTTGAATCCAGTGTTTGCACCAGAAGAAAAATGTGCATCATCACTGGAGAGTGCTTCCTCTTGCGTTGTCTTGCAGTGTCTGTCTGCCAGTGCACCTTGATGTCTTGGAAGGTTTTGTTGCTTCTTTGGGTTGAGGTTTTGAGCCAGGAGGCTGTGGAGAGACTGATAGGGTCTGTACAGATTGAGAACACTGCCTTCTCCCACTTACCTGCATGTGTTCTCTTGTTATGGAAAGAGGTGACCGTGAATCTATCAAGAGTGGCTACATGACACTGGGGATGCAGGTGGTGTTTTCTTTGATCCTGAGAATGAAGGAGAAAGGTTTGGGAAAGAAAAAACATCTCTAGCAAGTCAATGCTTGGTGTCACAAGCCAGGGTTTGTCTTTTACAACCATGGGGTCCTCTATTAAGCAATTAGGTCCTGTGAGGCAGGCATAAGATGCATCTGACAAAGCGGGGCAAGAGCCTCTTTGCCAGCAGGCTTGCTAACCCCATGAGGAGTGTTTTAAACTACAAAAGTGAGGGCAGAGTGACCGTAACCTGAAGAGAAATGAAAGCATGAGGGTCAGGGAAGAGTGTGGGGAACAGCAAGAGGCTTTTGCATTTTCCCTGGGAAAGCAGCCTGACTTTGCTATGCAGCAGAGTAGACAAATGAGGGATTTAGAAGTCCATGTGCAGGAGGAGGCAGAGCTGTGGGCACTTGGGGATTATGGAGAGGTGGTGGGACTGCTCACAAGACTGGAGTGCTGCCATGGATAGAGGCTCCACAGGAGAGAGAGGTCAGGAAGGAGAGGTGCTGATAGTGGTACATCTGTGAGTTCAGCAGTCCAGTCCCTCCCTTTAATTTTCAGTCCCTACGTGGGCTTGTTCCGTTCAAAAATTGTCCCTTTCTCTTGTAGATTAGAACTGGATGGTGAGATTATATAATACTCTTGTCCCCCCTAGACATGGCATTATTTCAATAAAGGACTTTAATTTTTGAGAACTTTTCCTAAGTTTATGTTAAATGTTATTCTTATACTTATCATAATAAGAGGTAGTGCCCTCCCAGTGAATATCCACTGTCATGCAGTTGGTGCCAGGAGCCTGACAGTGTGAGTGCTGTGATGTCCATATGTATGTAACTTTCTAGATTGCTGTAGTAGAATTCTGTCTTAAATAAGGTGCTTAATTTTATTTATGTTTAAAATGTACTTCTCATAGAATACTGCACAGCAGTCTGTGGAAGGTTATTTATGGGGTCTGTCTTAACATCCTTTACTGATACAGTGCCAGCTGGTTTGCAGCATTTAGTTTCTCCAAAGGCTGCTAGGTCTGAAACAAATAAGTGGTAATTGGTTTCTTCCAGTGGCCTCAGCTGAGCAATAAGACTAACAATCAGTGTGCTGATGCGTTGAAGTGACTTCATTGTGTTGTCATGCTCTTCCCATTTTTGACACCAACCATATATCCTTCAGGTTTGGCATTAATGTGCTTCATGCAGTACCAAAATCTAGTGCAATTTCAGGTCTGACATTTCCATATGTGGAGACTTGTCAGTGAAGATGAGGAGAGCTCCTAGCTCAAATACCAGGGTGTCTGTAAACACAGAACTTGAGGACCTTTTCACAAAATGCCATTCTAGGCATTATTTTTGCATCCAAGCAATTACTTCTTGTTGTGAGGAACAGGGAGCAGGGTTGAAGAGATGAGTGAATGAACAACAGAGAAGTCTTTGGAAAAGGAAGGAATATAGTTCATAGTAAGAAGTAGAGCTCACTTAGAAATATCCAGAGTTTGACCAAGTGTCCTATACTCTCCACATGCACATACATGCTGTCATATATGCACATACACAGATGTGTATGTACATGTAGACATGACTATGTATACATAGATCTCAACTTAAGAACAAATTTACTTGATAAATATATGCAAGGTGGAAGAGAAGTAGGGATTTCAGTACATGGTATTAATTTTGGTTCTTGTTGAATCTACTCAAGGCCTGTGAAATTTTAGCCACATTCAATAGTAATTCATAGAACAGTATGGTATGGCAGTTCTTTAAAAAGAGATTAATTAATACAAGCAGTGTTATTTTAATAGCAGTTTAGTTATGGTATTGTTCCTTTATTTTTTTTTAACATTTCTGTTTGAAGCTCAGAATTATCTGTAAGCATTAACATGTACTAAATAACTGGATACAGCATAGTTTACAGTGTAAGCTCTGTAATCTTAAATGCTACTGAAGCTTTATAGTTTAACCAAACAAATGCAAATCTTAAGTAAGATTACCAAAGTGCCATGTAAGAGGCAGGAGTTTTGTTTGTTTCACATAGAACAGCTAGTTTAGTACATAATCACAACTGGCTATCTAAAGACAAATAGTAGCTTGAAAGCAAAGTTGACAATGCTTAGCTTCGTCCTTCACAAATAGTGTGCACTGTAGTCAAGCTACTAAAACTAGTTCACGTGTCAACTTCATACTGGGGGCTAAGAAAAAGACAGTGTTACATACTTGGATATAATTATTTGAATTTAACCCCTGTCTAGTAAATGCCTCACTGATACAATTTTTTTCTATACCATTTCCTTACTCTTTGGTAGTGTTCAGGAAAAAATGTAGGTTAATTAAAGAGCAGCTTTAACTCAAATGAATTATTAAAATGACAGGAAATGCACAAAGTACTGTAACATTTCCAGGACTTGTTTAGGTCTGCATGCATGTTCTTAAGCCTTATCTCTATCAAAATTTAGTTTGAAAGAACATCAGTGTCCTCTCTTACTGGAATCACTGTTTCATATTTTCAGACTCTCTTCAGTATTAAAAAAATCTTGGCGCATTAGGCACAGACAGTGCTCACCAAAATCCAAACAGAAGATCTCATAAATGATAGAACTTCACTAAGCTGGTCTCATGCCAGATCAGGAAATGTATTCACAGAGCAGAAGCTTGCCTCTGAGGCAAGAAAGTGATTTTTGTTGAAAGTTGTACAATACTGGACCTCATCTCTGCAAGACCCTCTGAGGCAAACCACTATCGCCAACTCTCTATCACTGTGTACAAGTAGCTTGGGTCACAAAGAAATCTTGAGAATGCCTGGAATAATGCTGCTCATAAACTGTTTTTCACTTCAGTTAATTATCCTTTTTGACTTTTGTTTGTTTGCTTTTTCTTTTTGAAGGTGATAAGGTGGGAGGGTGCTCATTTGCTATATTTTTTCCTTTTTTTTTGTTTTGTTTTCCAAATGGAAAATGTCTTCCCACTGAACAAAATGCTTGTCCTTTTTGAGCTCACTTCCAACTCAAAGCAGTTTGTGATACTTCTGTAGGTCTGCATGCTTGTTCTTAAAAATTTTTCTCTTATATTGTGGCAGAAGAATGGAAACAAAGATCACTTGTAATCTGCCATTTTACCTTGTAGAAGAAATGTTTGTATGGGCTTTCACTGTCAGGACATCAACTCACAAGTGTAATAAGAAAAAAGTGGTGCATATGCAGCTCTATTAGAGTAGGATCATAAGTGTATAAGTGGTGTGCCTTGTTTTCCCACAGGAAGTAAGCTAGGAAGTTAGCATTTCAGCAAGGGTTACTTTGAAATAAAGCTTTTAAGTTGAGTCCTGAGTGAAGAACTGTGCTACTGGACCAAACTCAAAAGTAAAACCTATTTCACAATTACTTTTTTGGATACTCTTCTATTTGATTTGGCTCTCAAGCAATTCTTCCTTTTTTTTTTTTTTATGCTAATGGAAGATAATACTTTGAATAAAGGCTTTCTTTTATAATAGCTTCGTAATGTTGATACTTTACTGCAACTGTAATTAAATAATCTCTTAAGGATATTATTGTGGAAATAGTTAGATGTCCCCAGTTAATGCCTGAAGTAACAACATGGCCCTGATTGGCCTGTATCCAAAGGTAGCTTGATACTAAGTTCTTCTCAGAAGTTATTCTGGTTTGCAAAAAGAACTGTTACAGGTAGCTGTCTTTGCCCAGGGATTAAAGAATGGGGGCAGGAGAAGGAATTGTGTGATACATGTGTGGTAAACTATTGAAAATTTGCTGGTTACATACATGCAAATGCTACTATGACTTCTGCCTGATACGGTTGCACGTGGATTAGTCGTTGAGTGGGCTTTTATGGAAAGCAGCCTCTAAATAGCTGATTCATACCCACCTAAAAATACCATGTGTGAAGACATTACCTGTTTGAAACCTAAAAGCGGTAGTGAAGCTTTCATGCGTAAATATTAATCAGAAATACTTTTTTTTGTTGTTGCCAAGGAGGAAATGGACTTGAGGAATTCTGTTCTTTGTATTTCCAGATGTGCATTCTCACATCTCACATCAAAAGTTACTGAGGTAACTTTTGAAGCTATTGAAAGCTTAATTAGATTTGACAGGAAATTTGTAGTCTAAATTTACTAAGTTTTTACAAATTTAGTGGAAACTCCTGACCGTACAAGAGAAGGAAATCCAAAGCATTACCTCAAGGAAGTAAGTCATAGCATGAATTCACCACCTGTTGAATCTGCTTGGTGATATGATAGTTCCTCAGTATCTGTTATATAGTATACTGTTACTGTATAGTAACAGGCTGCCTGTCAGAACACCTGTTGTGCTACCTTGTGCATACACTGGAACCTGAAGTGATACTCGATGCCTTTTTTTCCCCTCCCCAGCAGGAGGTAAGTGTAGAGTGGGGAGGAGGACATGGTAGAATCGTAGAATCATTAAGGTTGGAAAAGACCTCTACAATCATCAAGTCCAGCCATCAGCCCAACACTACCATGACCATCAAACCATGTCCTAAAGTGCCACATCTACGCATTTTTTGAACACCTCCAGGGACGGTGACTCCACCATCTCCCTGGGCAGACTGTTCCAATGCTTTGCCACTCTTTCAGTAAAGAAATTCTTCCTAATATCCAATCTAAACCTCCCCTGGTGCAACTTAAGCCCATTTCCTCTCATCCTATTGCTAGTAACCTGGGAGAAGAGACCAAGACCCACCTCACTACAACCTCTTTCATACAATTGTAGAGAGCGATAAGGTCTCCCCTCAGCCTCCACTTCTCCAGACAAAACAATCCCAGTTCCCTCAGCCACTCCTCATAAGCCATGTTCCCCAGACCCTTCAGGAGCTTCGTTGCCCTTCTCTGGACCTGCTCTGGCACCTCCATGTCCTTTTACTGAGGTGGCCAAAACTGAGTGGAGTACTCGAGCTGAGGCCTCACCTGTGCCGAGTACAGGGGCATGATGGCTTCCCTACTCCTGCTGGACACCCTGTACAGGCCAGGATGCTGTTGGCCTCCTTGGTGGTGGAAGGAGAACTGTACTGGGGGTTGGTAAAAATGTTTTGGTGTGGCACCACAGGAGACATTTGTAGCAAGATAGATCTCAGTGATATTCCTGTGGGTGATACAAAGTAGAAAATCCATAGGATAGCAGGCATTTTCTCTTCACATAATGACTTGTTTAGAAGAAGCAGTCCACTTGCAATGTACGTGCAGCTTATGAATTGCATGTGAAAGGCATGTAAACCAAATAAACTACCAAGAAATGAGGAGAAAGATATACTTGTGACAGTTCCAGTGAAAAAAAATTAAGAAAATGTGTAGCTATACATCTGCTGTATACACCCACATCTACTGTGGTAGATACACCCACAATTAGAAGTAATGCAAGCAGACCTATATGTGCTGTGAATGCATCTTCATTTTCTGTACAGCTGTCCTGCTGGGGTAGGTATTGCCTTAGAAAACCTGCATTGCACTGTCAGTCTTCAGAACGTGATGGAAGTTCACTCTGAACAAAGTATTGTCATCATGCTACTTCTGGAAGCTGGGCTATAAGATAGTGTTTTCCACTTTGGATTGCAGCATTGTTATGAGAGCCTTCGTTAACTTGTATCAATAGTTCTCAGTCCTGAGACTGTATTTTTTTTTTTTTTTGTTTTCACTAGTAATTATTTTTATATCAAAAAAACAAAGGTCCCAGACAGTCTGTGGAACTTGAACCAAGTTGCAGTACTATTGAAGGCTATACTGAATCTCACTTTTTGCAAACACTATACAGCAAACACCAAATTATCATTTGATAATTGATCAGAAAATATTTTTCAAGGCTTTGTTCATGTAGATACAAAGTTGTCTCTTAGTTTTCAGCTATGAGTATCTGTTTTTCAAGAGTTATTAGAGAGCTAATGCGGTAAGGCAGTTTACCAGTATTACTCAGAAATAACAAGATTTTTTCCTTACCTTCTTGGTAACAAATGTGGGAGGATGAAAATGCTGAGAAAGGTCTTTTGCTCCTCTGTCCTGGAAAATAAATTGTTTATCTTAGATCTCAGGTACTAGGAAAAAGTTAAGAGGGTTGTTGCTATGGCATAGCCATTGTGCTGATACTACTCTGCTCATTTATGAAGGAAATAACATCAACATGTTAAACAAACTGACCTTCCTGCTCCAGTGTTTGCTATTTTACCTGAATTGATTTGAACATACAGTGCTTTCAGTGTAGTTGGTCTGATAATGAGTGGTTCTTATTAAGTGTTGTCACCTTCCCCAGTAGGAGCAAGGCAGAGAGACCTCTGTGGTTGTTACAGAAGTGAAGCATATGGTTGACCACTGTGAGAAAATTTGACTTCAGCTGCCAGCCCACAAAATGTGCTGTGCTCTGTAGCCTGTGGACTTACCTAAGCAGCATGTACAATGCAAAAAAAGAAAATATCTGTCTTTTGTGCCTCTCTATTCCTCAATCTTTTTTTCATGACTGAAACTTCTTGTACCTATACTTTCATCACATCTTCTCTTGTAACTCTCTTATCCTTGCTGTTAACTGCATTGGTGGACATTTCATCAATGGGGCAGCAGCTAGGAGAAGTAGAGCACTTCAGAAATTAATTTTCTAAGCATTTATATCAACCAAGGCTGGAAAGAAAAATTGCTTTTTGAAATAGGAATTATTGGAATTAACTGTATAATGCAACTGATTTCTGTAGTACAAATTTATTATTCAATTATAATATTAAATTCTGTTTTACAGGAACACCATCTCCAATTTGAGACTGGGAATGACCCATATCTTTAAATGAACATGTAATTTTCACTAAATAAAGACCCCATACTGAACAACACGGAAACCTGCGAAAAATGATAAATTGTGCTAATGTCTTTCAGGGGTAAAATACCCCAGCCATCAAGAAATATAACAAGAGTATTATAGCATACATTTGGTTCTGTTTTAATAATGTCCCAATGGCTGCTCCTTGGTGCCAACTTTTTTCTCAGTTTTTGCAACAGGAGACAAAGATAGTTTTGCCCAGTGGGGTTGTTTAATTTATGCAAATCAGCAGATGGCTTTGCAGGAGTATGATCTGTTATGTTTCCTGGATGAGTTTGCTTTTTTAAAGACCCTGGCAGCAACAGATTTGTCAATATCTTACATTGTATTATTGAAATGGCCTTTCAATTACTTTAATTGTGGTTTGTTTGATTTTTTTTAAAAAATACTGTTTTCTCTCCCTCACTCCTCCTCCTCTTTTCTCTCTTTCTAGATTCTGGGACTTTTCCAAGCCTAATCCTTTGCTGGAAACAGTAGAGCATCATACTGAATTTACATGTGGACTGGATTTAAGTCTTCACAATCGTGGTCAGGTAAGAGCCGGGATGAATGTACTTTTCACTTGTCTATTATAGCCACTGTGGTCATGTCTGGGCTGCAGGACTCAGATCCTGAATAAGAGCCACCAGATTGCAGAGAGCTTCTGAAAGTGAGTCTGGTTGAATGCTTATTAAATAAACTTCGCTTCAGATCCGTTTTTATTTATAAAGCAGTTACTTTGGGTGGGAGAGAAGGGCAGGAGAGATGGAATTGCAAAATCAGATAGCTGAAAGCCATGGTGACCTCAGCAAAAATACAGTAGTTTTATTTCAGAAGGAAGGATATAGAGAAAGGCTTAGAATGCTGAGCTGAGATACTTTTTTCCATCTACTTTGAATGTGCAGTTAAACATTGGTAGTGTCACATATGAAACCTAGACCTGTTTTGTCATAATATTTTGAGTTTTAGAAGAGGCTTAATATGTGGTTAGAATTTTGAAACCCTCAGCTATCTCGACATGAACAAGCGGAACTCATTTTTTCTGAGGCACTTATTTATGTGTTGTTTGTAATGGGATTCTCCACTGCTTCTGTTGCTACAATTGTTTTGTAAACAGAGCATTGTTGTTTGTGGTTTGAACTGTTTTTTCAGGCAAGAAAGGCAGAAGAACTAAAGTTATTTATTTGCTTGAAAATGAGAAAGCCCATACTTTTCACACAGAAATCACTGTCACTGGGTTAACTGTATCCAATACGCTGTTTAATGTGTCACAGATATCATTGGCATCTAGATTCCTTTCTAATTCACAGTGAAATTCATTTTTTTACCCAGATAAAAATGACTTGTAACATCTGCATTGAAATTGTGCTTGGACAAAGCAAATAAAACCATAATTTTTGCTACTCATAAAAGTACACAGGAGAATTGTGGAAGTTTTTGTATCATTTATCTGTCAAACTTGAAGTTTCTGCTATGTGGATATTATTTCTTTTCTAACTGCAACGTATAGAGCAGCCTTCTTGGACCAAGGCCATATAAATGCTAACTGATGATAGATAATGAATTGAGAACAAACATCTGCATATTCACTTGTATGTTGGGAAAGGAAAATGGTGGTCTCCATACCTAGCCACATTAGGGCATTTGTGCATTCAGGTCTTTTTTTTCCCCCACAAATTCTACAAGTCCAGTGTTGGATGTAGTGCACAAAATCTGAGGTATGTATCCATGTACACTGCATGCCAACGTGCCCTCCATACAGAAGTTTGGCATCTGCAACAGCTTTAATATTATTCTGAATTTTTTCTGTTGGGTTGATTAAATGTATTGTGAGGGTTGGATATTGCAGCAATGCAAGAATGTCAACAGTTGGGTTTTTAAAGAAGGTTAAAAACCTGTGATAGAATTCAACTGTAACTACAAGATAAAGAATGAACACTTACTGAATAGTTGCTTCCAGTATGAGCATTTGCAGCCTTTCCCTGGCTTCTACATCGATCCAACAAAGATTATTTGCTTAAATTTTATGTTGCTTTTCCAAATATATAGTTTGCCTTCATGTCTGCTCTCTATCAAGACCTGATAATGAGCTCCATTCACTGTTGTTTTTCATGCATTAGTATGATTTATGATTCTCACTGTGTACTTTCTAAGGAGTTAAAACTTGGGATTTGAACTGCTTTTCTTCTCTGTGCGTGCAGGGTTATTTTATTCATAATGGACAAGCTATTAATTTACAGTCAAATTAAGTACCATTCTGGTCATTAACCTTCACTTCTGTTCTTAGTGATATTTTTGTTGTCTAGCCAGATGATATTTTCTTTGGCTTTGCCCAATGAGCTTAAGCATTTTTGAAGTATCTTCTGCATGTCAAGGGAAAACCAGTCTGTCCTTTTGAAAAAGTGTTCAAAATAGACACTGTGGTTGAGTGTCTGACCTAGGAATTACCAGACATTCCTGTGGAACTGATTGATCTTTGAACAGAATCCACAAGCAGAGGGTAGGTTCATGCAGGCAATCTGGTTCTTGTGCAGTATTCTGCTAAGAGGAGGCAACATATGAGAGTGAGATCTGGTCATAAGGAATGGGTCCCAGGTTGTGAGGGTAAGTATTAGCTAGATGAAACAGAAAACTCCTTTGTGTTTAATAAGATTCTGATATCTATTTTGGGGTATCTTCCTCTACGCCAAGTAAGCATTTGTTGAAAGCTTTGCATTTTAATAAAATAAACTGTTGTTTGGTTTGATTTTTTTTTCTATGTTGGTGTCAGGTTCGTAGCAAATTCAAACTACTAACAAACTTACTTTCAGATGCATAGAAGAATGTGCATTTTACAGTGCAAAACATTAACAGAAATGATCCTCATGATATTCAGAGCATTTCTCTGTTAAACTCCAAGCGCTGAGGTTAGCGTTTGCAAGGCAGGTTGTCTATGAGAAAATAGTCCCAACTGCAGCTTTCAGCCAAAGTACCTTTAGCATGCACAGGACCAGTGACAAGACCCTAAGCACCAAAAATCTTTTAAATTTGTAATGGTGTACAGTATTAAGAACTGAATAAATCCATTTACCTTGACAGCATTATTAAGAATAGGCAAGTTTCTTAAGCCAGACGTGACAGTTCTTTCCAAAGTTTGAAGATAAGAAAAACAATTAAAGCTTGCTCCTTTCTATATACCCTAGATAGGCCTAGGATGTATGTAGAGAACATGAAAATGGTGATTAGGTATGCAGTGTTCCTCAGTAGGGGCTGATAATACTAGACCATATATTGGAATTTTACTCTGTAGCTCATTGGGTTTTTTATTTCTCTCCTGATACCTGCTTTTCCTGTATGTGATCTGTGAATGTTCTGGTGAATGCAATACTCCATGAAGCCTAGCTCTTCCTGGGATTTGGCTGTGCTTACCTGCAGCATGGAAGCAGGAACATAACTTCTTTGGGTATTATTTGTGCAGCTTTTTTTAAAAGCGCCCTTTTTCTTCTGTTGTAGGTTGAATGTGAAATGGCATTCGTGAAGTAATTTTAAATATCTTTTAGACAATCCATCAGTGGCACAGATAAAAAGTACAGATACTGTGAACATTCACTTCTTGTCTTGATTCTGAAATGTTTTCAATAAGCATGTAAAGAATAGAAAATACACATGTACCATGAACTTCTTTAAATCTAGGAATTTAATACCCAGCCCTTTCTGTTGTAGTTCTAAAGCTGTGTTTTACTTAACACAAATATAAGAAAAACTGAAGTTCTCAACTTTGGCTGAAAACCTTTCTCAGTCTACACCACCTATCTGTTCCGAACTCTGTAAAGCAGCCAGCAGAAAGTATAAATTAATGCTTTCCATTGAGTCAGACTTTCTGTCTTGCTGCTGGAAACAGGATTAAATATCGAACAGGAACAGGAGAGGAATCTTTCAGTTTCTCTGTATTTTTACACTATGAACAATGACATTCTTAAATTACAAGGATGTGTTATTTTCAAGGGAAGAAATGGCAAGTGGTGTAGTGGCTTAGAACACTTGATCCGTGAAGAGCACTTCAGACATCTATGGCATTCCAAATCAGACCAGGATTTCAACCATATACAATACTGAGGTGCTTCCTTTGGAAATTTAAATTGTTCTGCACCAAACAAGGATAAGCAGATGTCAGTTCTCTGCTTCAGAATCACCTGTTACCTTAATGCGTGTTAGAGTCTAGGGTTTGAGGTAGCTTATATACCACACAAATAGCGATAGCTTATGATTTCCTTTTACTGTGTTTGTGTGTGTTTGGATGGTAACTGTAGTTCAAACGGGGAGCTAGGTGTCTAAATAGATGTTTGTGTCGACATAGTTTGGGAGACAAACTGATTTTCTCTAGCCTTCACTGTGGCTGCACCTCCTTGTTTAAGTATTACTTAGAGTAGATTAGTTCACATAAACCTGGTTTCTCTTACTTCTTCAGAGGACCTGGAGCTCTGGGAGGTAGCAATGCAAGAAAGGGCCTTAGCTACAATTCTTCAGTATGACATTTGGGTATGGTGAGGGGTGATACAGCAGGACACACAGGATACCAAGTACTGTGGAGACAGTGAAAATACCAGTGCAGTACTCATGAAACTAGTCTTGTGCACTTTGTTACGCTCTCCTTGTCATCCAGTTTCCCTGAACATCCATTTTCTTCCTCCATTTTCTTCTTCCTAAAGTTGCAGGTTATCACCAGCATGTCATGCTGTACCACACTCTGCTCCTTCCTTCCACCTGGCCGTTAGGACCAAGCGGAGGTGCCTGCTCTGTAGCATCAGTCTGTTGACCCCATGAAACATTGCTGTACTGATGGTATCATGCCTTTTCTTATCACTGAATTGTTAAAAGCTGTAGCTTGTTACTACATGGAGGAAGGTCATAGCCAAAATGTATGCACACTTGAGCTGCATCCCCTGCACAGGTAACTGAAATCTAGTTGTAAATTCTTTCAACTTTATGAAGAAATTTTTGATCTGTCAAGTTTTGGTGTACAGGTTTGTTCCACTGCCTGTGTTCTGTGTGCAGCTTGTGCAACGTGCCATGTTAGCTACACCAGCACAGCAAATGGGAGAACAGACAGGAGAGGGGCTGCTGAAGTTGGCTTAACCAATGTAGCCAAATGTAAATGCAGAAGTCTTTAGTGAGGCTGTTTTGCTATGTATTTTGCTGTTCGTTTAAATTATTGGTGCATCCTCAAAAGGCCCAGAATTGTTGACTGCTCCATATAAAAATGGAGTTGCATCTTGTGGAAATGTACAAAAAAAGAGAGGCTTTCTCTGCTTTTTAATTTGGATTGCTTGCTCTTACATTTTACACTTAATTGCCAAGGAACTGATAGCTTCCACCCAGCTGTTGTGGCTATCACACTGCTGTAATTATATCACTCTCTGTACTTTATTTTAATCTCTCCTTATGGTCCTTCTCCAGGATGCTACTAAAGTTATGCAGTTAGTGATCCTTTGAGATAAAAAGATCCTACAGCATCTGTTTTTACTTAATTTCAGAGGGCATTTTTATATGGCAAGATCAAATTTAACCAGCTGCA